TCTGGTAAAGTGGAGGGGTTATCCCTCAGTCGTATGACTCTATCGGCGCGACGTCTCTTATCAGGGCCACACACAGCAGCCCGGTGAAGTGGAGGGGTTATCCTCAGTCGTAGGACTCTATCGGCGCGACGTCTTTATCAGGGCCACCAACAGTATCTGGTAAAGTGGGAGGGGGTATCCTCAGTCATATGACTCATGGGATTACGAGGTACCCCTACGGCAAGACTGCCCGGACGTCGTTGAAGCTTTTGATCGGGAAGATCAGAAGCGGCAACAGCAGTCGCCGGATGCTTCCTAGCACTAAGTGCTGTGGAAGCTCAGTAGTTAGGATCACTTCGACCTTTTTGGGAAGCAGTTGCTGGTACCTCACTCGCGTGAAAGGTACCTATATCTGCTTCAGAAGAAAAAGTTACGGCGTATATGGCTTTGCCTATAAAATACGCAAAGCGTAATCACTTGGGAGCTCAAAGAGCAAGTGGACATGGCACTCTATGGCTCCATGAGCATATGCTGGGAATTACGTTGCACTAAAAATAAGTGTGAAACACTTAGCTGCTATAAGCACGCTTTAATCATAATGAAGCTTTATACGCAAGTTTACGACACTTAGGGGCTCTTATATAAGCACGTGTGAAACACTATGAAGCTTTATCAGAAGTGTACAACACTTTGGGATTATATAAGCAAGTGTTTTAAGCACTTAAAGGCTTTAAAGAAACAAGTGTTCAACACTAAGGTGCGTTACAAGCACGTGTTAAACATTTAGGTGCTTTATAAGCGAGTGCCGAACACGAAGGTGCTTTAAAAGCAAGTGTTTAGCGAAAATGTGCTTTATAAGCAAGTGTTGTACACTTAGGTGCTTGATAAGCTAGTGTTATACACTATGGTGCTTTATAAGCTAGTGTTATACACTAATATGCATGTAGCTAGTGTTCGACACTAATGCGCATTATAAGCTACTGTTAGATGCTATGGTGCTTATACGCTAAAGTGAAGCGAAAATGTGCTTTATAAGCAAGTGTTCGACACTAATATGCATGTAGCTAGTGGTCGACACTAATGTGCATTATAAGCTAGTGTTTGGCACTAATGTGCATTATGACTAGTGTTAACATTACGGTGCTTGTGAGCAAGTGTTACACACTTATATGCTCAATGGCTTGTAAGCAAGTGTTTAAAACACTGAAATGCTTAAAAGCAAGTGCTAGGCACATAATGCTGTAAAAGTAAGTGTTCGTAAACACACAAAGGGTATTAATAATACCAAGTGCAAGGCACTTAACGCTTATAAGCAAGTGTCGTAACACTATAATGCTTTAGGGTGAGTGCAATGCACTGTATGCTCAAGGCGCAAGTGTCGTAACACAAGGATGCTTAGAAAGCGTGTGTGCATAGCACAGGTGCTCCAGGAGCAAGTGTCAGAATATTGACGATTTGTTCGCAAATGCAAGCACTTATTGCGAGGCAAGCAAAATGAGAAGAAAATGAAATCGATACCTCCAATTAAGTGCAAAATTTCGTGGGTACGTCGGGTCCCACGGATCGGAGGGAGAGGGTGCAACGGAGTTACACAAAGGTGTGTATTTTACATACACACCTGCCACACCAATGTGGTGTGGCTGTACCTTGGGTACAAAAGCAGGTGATGTGACGTACCTGAAGTACGAAGGGTGGCAGAGAGCCACGTAGTCACTATACTAATTTAAAGTATAGTGACTATGCATGTTTGCATAATTATAAAAAGCTATAGAGCCAGTAATAGTGACTCGCACTATGTATAGGATAGGTGCTTCTATATTTAGTGTTAGAAGATAGACATAAATATAAATCAGTCTCAAACCTGCTCTGTAAGCCTTACAGCTTGAGCATTCTATTCCTTATAGGAATTGTATCTTTGATACTAGTCTCTCTGAGACTCGGTGGCTAATACCGATAGGCACAAGCTTACGAGCTAGCCTAGGATGGTTAAACACCCTAAGACGCAGAAGCTCTCTGATCTTGTCTTCCTCTGCACATAGTGCATACGTAGCTTTGCTACAGTAGTCTGACTACTTCTTCTGCACATAGCGCATCTGCACATAGTGCATAAGTAGCGTAGCTACAGCAGCTCGGCTACATTGGGAGTTTAAGACTATTGTATCACATAACACATGCGGAATAAGAACGATGGACGCGCGAATTGCCAGCAGATGGTCAGAATGCATAACTGTATTCAACTAAATCCAGTAGGTCAAAACAGATAAGTGTATCAAATACGCTTAACTATATTATACAAACTTTTAATTTTTCTTACAACTCGCTTCCTCTACCTCTGTAAGTAAGCTTAAAGTCACCTGCTATACTTGTTATCAATAATCCGGTTGACTGTTCGGTAGAAATTTTCAATGCTGTATTTGCTTTCTTAGTTCCCTTGCTACACCGCTTCTTAGAGTCCTCTACTTCAACCATTCTAAGATGGTTTGTTTCTGGCCAACTCATCAAGTAGCACTTACGTAGACTATACGTGACGGTATAATGACTGACACTAATCGCAAACGCTAATTGCAAACCTACCTGCGCTTCAAAAACAACATAATCACTCCGTATCTTTCATGCTCACCTTCCAACACTCCTCCTTGAGTGCGCCTTACGTTCAATACTCTCCCCTTCTTTCTCTCTTGATGACCTTGCCCTACCTTCCCGTCCTTGCCAATTTCTTTTGCCCTTTCCCGTCCTTTACGTCCTTGCCCGTCCTTTGCGCATGAGTTAAAAAATCGTTTCAAGCCTCGTAGCGTCGCGCACCTTCGATATCATACCGACTTGAGGAATCATGCAGCGACCACGCTGCGGCGTGAGAAGTGCACAAAACCCTTAGTCGAGCATCAACGTGTTTGCTTCAGCAAAGATGCCATGCCCACAATATGGAAGAACAATGCTTGTCTATCGATGTTTAGCTGCACTGGACAGCCGGCCAATGCCAATTTTGCTGATAAACTCACAAAAACCGAGCATTTCGCATGCCAAAGGCAGCGACGAGCTCGGCGTCCATCGTCGGCAGCGATACGTCTCCCTGTTTCGCGCGCATCAACTCACTGCATGTCGTCTATGCACAGTACGCATCCGGTCGTTGAATTTTATCAGCTTTGTTGGCCGCAAAATCGCGCCACTAATAGCTCCCAGTCGTGGTACTTGGTTGCGGTCTGACGCCGGCTCCGTCTCGACCTTCAAGCTCGCCGTACATTTCAAGTACCGAGCGATCCTCTTCGCAAGCTTCCAGTCATGCAAGTGCGGCGAGTGTGTAATTTACAGTCACGCGTCGCTGAAATTGTGGATCGTTGAAATAGCGCGCGTGTTCGACGCCCAAGCAGCTCTGAGTCGTCTGGGTTCACGTCGTAGCTGTCTCCCCAATCGGCGCGTATGTCGAGTTGGCTTTCGCGAGTCAACTAGTGTAAAGAAGGTCACCAATCGTCTCATTTTGGTCGAGCGTATACTCAGCTTTGCCGTCAAGCTTCACCCGTACCCCGATACACTTGCTGACGAGGCCAAGCGTTTTAATCGACCGTGACACGAGCCTGTCGATGAACCGATCGACTGCTGCTGCGTTCGCCTCGGTCGCAAAGAGGCCATCGACATATACGCCAACAACGACGAGTCTTTAACGTCTCGTTTAATTAGAAGCACATGTCACTCTGCGCCGCGCTGTAATTTGGCTTCGACAAGACCCGTGTGCAGTATCTGGCTATACAATCAGCCAGTCTTTTAAGTCTTTGAGAAACTCTTACGAAGATCCAGAACCATCTTTCTTGCGCTCACGGCGCCGTACTCGTGCAGCGTCTAACCGGACACGCTCAAGACGCGCGGCAGCTGCAGATAGATCTGCAGATGGGCCTTGTGTCTGCCTTATAATGCGCATTAGAGATGTCCCCATGCTTGGCACCCCCCACATGGCAGCGAGATACAGTATGACCTTCATAGTCGACAGGTACATGACGGCGGCGTACGTGAGGCTGTAATCGATGCACAGTACCTGTTCGCTGCAACATTAGATGAGGCGCGCCTTTATTTGCTCGAGCCTACCCTTCATGTCAAGCTTGGTCTTGTACACCCCCTTAGTGTTCAAGGCGCTCAATCCAGACGCACGCTTGACGACTTGTCAGACGTTGTCGTCCTGGAGCTCCGCAATTTCTTCTCTCGTTGCTTTGGTCCAGCCATCGCTCTTTTCACTGCTCGTGCCTTTACTGTAGTTGGTCGGATCGTGCTTGGAAAGAGCGTTCACGACGTCGCCACTACCAGTCGACATTCCTGAGATGCTGTTGCCTGCAAACGCATCTCAGGAAATGTCGACTGGTAGTGGCAAGTGCAGACCGTGTCCACGATTTCTTACGATTCTTGCGAGCCCTCAAAATAGATGACTATGTTGTTGCTGAATGCTATCGGTGTTGGCGGCGCTGCTGGCGTCGAGTCACGTGCTGCGCTGTCTTTGTCCTCGTCGTCCATTGCTTGCTAAAGCTGATCGTTCTGCACGTCAGACGGTGTGTTTATGCTCTTGACGTGCTGTATTACAATCACCCAGTTTTGCTTCCACAGGAAAACCTTACAGCCTTCTCGTTCCTCGCTAATGCCGACTATAATAGAGATTTGTTCGCGCTGTTGTAATATGCTCTTTCGCGAACCCGATACACGGTGCGGAGAGAGCCGAACACGACAATCTCGCGTAAGTCTAGCACCGTCCATGTCGGTGTGATGACGCCTTCAAAACATTTGGGAACCCAAGGACCAGTGGACCAAATAGGAACGGACCGCAGAAGAGAAGCGACCGTTTGCCGACGGACCAAAGAGAAAGGGCGCCAAATGGGAAACGACCGTGAGATTGGAAGAACTTGCGGTCAAGCTCGCTGCTGTGAGACCGGTTACTTGGCATTGAAAGGAGTGAACCGCGCTTCCAATCGGTGGGCCGTGGTCTTTCAAGGTGGATCTCGATTCCTTATCGGTAGACCCCGGTATTTTGAGTGAGACCTCGGTCCTTCGTCGGTACCCCTCGACCCTGGTCCCTTGAGGTCAACCCGAATCCTTCCCCACTCGACTCGGTCCTTAGTCGGTCGAAATGGATCCTCCAAGGTCAAGCTACCCTAGCCATCAGATTCAAGGACTAGGTCTCAAAACAAGGATAGAGTAAAAGGAGCTAAAAGATAGGGCTATACTAAATAACACTCAATTTGCTATCTATGTGACACGACTTCGTCACGCTTTAAAGGAACTTGCTTAGTCCATCTACCTATTCGGTGAAGGAATACATTTTGGCCTTCCGTCGAAGACAGTCATGTGGCAAGACTAAAGTGCAAAGATAGCTTCAGAATATATTTGGCCTGTGCATTTGTCTCAGTAGCACCCCCCCATCAATCGACCCGCTATCTGAAGCGGTCTTTCTACCCTACCGGTTTGGGATCAAGTAAAGTCCAAGCTGTAGATACCCCTGAGATATCAAGAAAAAGGAAGGAAAAGACCAGGGTTGAGAATCTCCCCTGAAAACTTTGGTTATAAGTCCACCCTCGACCAAGTCAATCGAGTGGCCACCTATAGCCTATCGAGTAAAGTATCTCCAAGTCTTCTGAAGCGTGCAACCCTCCAGCCGACGGGTACACAAGGAACATACGCGGCATCGGGGAACCCCCTTCAACCGTCGGCAGTCCAGAACAGTAAGTGGCTTGGGGCCTCATCACGCCGTTTTGAGAATCCACTCCACCTCTTCGGCAATACGATTGGCGACGCTCGCTTCGTATATGCAATCATCGGGATGCGGTTCAAGCTGTACGCTGTACTGCACCGCGTTATTTCACAAGTTGCTTGACATTACGTACGTACACATCATGCTTTTCTCTAAAATCGAGCGTTCAATTCATGCGCTTATGCTTACCGGCGGACGCCAGATTGCGCGCCTCATGCACTTGCCTTGTGACACCAGTGTTCTTGCATAAGAGATCGACATTGGCGTACTCGCCGCCACCGTATGTGAGTAGCTCATGGATAAGGCAGTAGAAAGGCTTCTAGAAAATGAGGAAAGTCTCGAGCTGCTTGACTGATGCGTCTTTCATGCGCGAGGAAGGTATGGAAGTAGTGCAATTTTGTGATCGACTCGTCTAATCAGGCAGCGGCTGTCGAGTTTATAACTGGTCATCGGACCTTTAAGGTCCAAGATATGATACAGCCGACCCTGTTCATCGACGCGTTGGCGCCTGTCCTGTCACTTTCTTATTCGTTGCGCGGATCTTGCCCTCTATGCATGTAGCCGAGCTACTGAAGCTACGCTACTTATGCACTATGTGCAGATGCGCTATGTGCAGATGCAATATGTGCAGAAGAAGTAGTCAGACTACTGTAGCAAAGCTACGTATGCACTATGTGCAGAGGAAGACAAGATCAGAGAGCTTCTGCGTCTTAGGGTGTTTAACCATCCTAGGCTAGCTCGTAAGCTTGTGCCTATCGGTATTAGCAACCGAGTCTCAGAGAGACTAGTATCAAAGATACAATTCCTATAAGGAATAGAATGCTCAAGCTGTAAGGCTTACAGAGCAGGTTTGAGACTGATTTATATTTATGTTTATCTTCTAACACTAAATATAGAAGCACCTATCCTATACATAGTGCTAGTCACTATTACTGGCTCTATAGCCTTTTATAATTATGCAAACATGCATAGTCACTATACTTTAAATTAGTATAGTGACTACGTGGCTCTCTGCCACCCTTCGTACTTCAGGTACGTCACATCACCTGCTTTTGTACCCAAGGTACAGCCACACCACATTGGTGTGGCAGGTGTGTATGTAAAATACACACCTTTGTGTAACTCCGTTGCACCCTCTCCCTCCGATCCGTGGGACCCGACGTACCCACGAAATTTTGCACTTAATTGGAGGTATCGATTTCATTTTCTTCTCATTTTGCTTGCCTCGCAATAAGTGCTTGCACTTGCGAACAAATCGTCAATGTTCTGACACTTGCTCCTGGAGCACCTGTGCTATGCACACACGCTTTCTAAGCATCCTTGTGTTACGACACTTGCGCCTTGAGCATACAGTGCATTGCACTCACCCTAAAGCATTATAGTGTTACGACACTTGCTTATAAGCGTTAAGTGCCTTGCACTTGGTATTATTAATACCCTTTGTGTGTTTACGAACACTTACTTTTACAGCATTATGTGCCTAGCACTTGCTTTTAAGCATTTCAGTGTTTTAAACACTTGCTTACAAGCCATTGAGCATATAAGTGTGTAACACTTGCTCACAAGCACCGTAATGTTAACACTAGTCATAATGCACATTAGTGCCAAACACTAGCTTATAATGCACATTAGTGTCGACCACTAGCTACATGCATATTAGTGTCGAACACTTGCTTATAAAGCACATTTTCGCTTCACTTTAGCGTATAAGCACCATAGCATCTAACAGTAGCTTATAATGCGCATTAGTGTCGAACACTAGCTACATGCATATTAGTGTATAACACTAGCTTATAAAGCACCATAGTGTATAACACTAGCTTATCAAGCACCTAAGTGTACAACACTTGCTTATAAAGCACATTTTCGCTAAACACTTGCTTTTAAAGCACCTTCGTGTTCGGCACTCGCTTATAAAGCACCTAAATGTTTAACACGTGCTTGTAACGCACCTTAGTGTTGAACACTTGTTTCTTTAAAGCCTTTAAGTGCTTAAAACACTTGCTTATATAATCCCAAAGTGTTGTACACTTCTGATAAAGCTTCATAGTGTTTTACACGTGCTTATATAGAGCCCCTAAGTGTCGTAAACTTGCGTATAAAGCTTCATTATGATTAAAGCGTGCTTATAGCAGCTAAGTGTTTCACACTTATTTTAGTGCAACGTAATTCCCAGCATATGCTCATGGAGCCATAGAGTGCCATGTCCACTTGCTCTTTGAGCTCCCAAGTGATTACGCTTTGCGTATTTTATAGGCAAAGCCATATACGCCGTAACTTTTTCTTCTGAAGCAGATATAGGTACCTTTCACGCGAGTGAGGTACCAGCAACTGCTTCCCAAAAAGGTCAGAAGTGATCCTAACTACTGAGCTTCCACAGCACTTAGTGCTAGGAAGCATCCGGCGACTGCTGTTGCCGCTTCTGATCTTCCCGATCAAAAGCTTCAACGACGTCCGGGCAGTCTTGCCGTAGGGGTACCTCGTACTCCCATGAGTCATATGACTGAGGATACCCCCCTCCACTTTACCAGATACTGTTGGTGGCCCTGATAAAGACGTCGCGCCGATAGAGTCATACGACTGAGGATAACCCCTCCACTTTACCAGATACTGTGTGTGGCCCTGATAAAGACGTCGCGCTAATAGACGCTCGACGTGAAACTGTTGATGACCCAGCTCATCAGTCAAAGTTGGTGGGGGTCGGTGACCCATCGATCCATGATCTTTTGGTACGCCTTAAGCGT